TAGCCATATAGCTGACTTCGGGCTTCACAGAGAGGAGGAGAAGGAACATCAGTGCGACAAAAGTCGAGAGAGGGGGGGGGGAAGAGTAATGATTCGCAGATGTTAAAGAGACAGACAGACACAAAGGCAGAGAAAAGGTAAGATGAGTACTGTGTAAGGGATCGAATATGATAAACAGTTGTGTCATGGTAGTTTGAAGTGAGAAGTCAACCGTCGGTTAATAGACTTTTTTTGCAGTATGAGCATACATTGCCCAGGGTGCACCACATGGAGGTAAGTCTATCCCACACCCCAATTCGCCAGACATGTATCGTTTACTGTGTCGTTTTTTTACCATTAGACCAATTTTAAGTTGAGGGGGGGGGATTTTCTGTTCTTCTGACAACATGAATAAACTTCTTTGTTTGACCTGCCATTTGGAAGCATTCACTTCGTTCAAAGGCCAAAGTGTCGTTGTTAGTTGGCAACTTGAATGGACTTGTCTCAGCACAGGTCACTAGAGTTCACCCAAATTGGTGCTTTTTAAATGAATTCGTTATCTTTGGTTTCTTAAACAGATATTTACCATGCTATTGGAGTTAATTTCTAGTTAACCTCAGTAAGTTCCGGTGGGTTATAATCATGCAAAGCCTTAGAATTGGGCGGTATTTTAATCATAAGAGGAGCAGACATTTTGATTAATAAAGCAAATTAATTAACGCTTCAATAACTCATTGACTGTGCGAACTCAAGTTCACAGGGGATAAATCACGAGGTGGAAATTCTATTCAATTAGAATATGAAGAAATGGATCAATCCATGGAACGATATATGCGAATCCCGAACCCCTAAAAAATCAATTTTATCAAGAAATTAAGTTTGTCGTATCGCATTTAGTTCTTTCCGCCTTATTTCTCCTTGAAACAAATAAGAATGTAGATCGAACCAATCATTTCTTTTGCTTTACCTAATAATATTTTGTAAAATCGATGCTCCATATGGGCTATATTTTTTGCCTTAGGCACATATCATGGAACGGAGATTCCCTACCTTTTTGGTTACTCCTTCTTGGACGATGACTACTGGTCGAGCCTCTTTGACATGGCGTCTATACCTATTCGGGCGCAAGTAAACGATTACCGAAATCCCAAGGATGTTAAAATGGCCAAACTCTTAATTTCTCTATGGAGCAACTTCATAAAAACTGGGTGAGTAAATTTCTATCCATGAGGAACAAATGTTTGTGCTCTTAATCCGAGCGACTCGTTCAATCAAGTACTTGTAAGGCATAAAGACAATGCTCTATCCTAAAGTTAAAGCACTTGAAAGTGGTAAAATTCAAGCGTGAGAATTTCTGATTGACTACCTCACATTTCTTCCATTTCCCACAAATGACCGTTTTCAAATGAAAAATTTATATTTGTTATATATTCCTGCATTATCTATGAAATCTATTTGTTCATAGGACAATTTACTACTCAGTTGGTCAAAAACTGTAGCGAGGGTTGCTTTAGTGGTATTCTTAGTGTTACTACTACAAAAGGATAAATCCACTAATCAATAATTGAGCTTGCGAAGGGTGAATGCTGCACTCAAATTATCTCCACTGAGATCAGATATTTTGAAACATCTGAGCCATTTTGAACTAGGAGCGCCACATAATTAGGAAGAAAAGGCTCCCAAGAGGATTACCTTCACTGACCACAGCTCAAGTAGTTTTATTAGATTAAAGATTTGTTTTTTTTATAGTTTCAAAGCTGGATGCAAAAAGTCGAGTTAAAAAAGCACACACACACACTCCTCCAGGCATAGAACAAAGTTGGGCTGAAATAGGTGGTCAGAAAACCTGTCGGCAAATTGTCTTGAAAACTTTTTTTCCGCTCAACTAGAAGCTTCAAGTATTCTAAAAGTGTCTTTTTGTAAGGAAAATGTGGCGCAAGCAGCAATCCGTGCTTCATATACCTCGAAAAGAGATCTTAAAATGTTTCCTGACCTGATTATTCAAAACTTTACATTCCCTTCTATACCAATTGATTTTTTGATGTGAGCATTTCCCCTATGTCATCATTATTTCTTTAGCCAAAGAAAAATGGCAATTTTAAGTCATTCCGCCAAAAGACGTGTATGGGGAAAACAAAGTTTGGGAGTATCTAAGAGAGATGTAGGTTGGGGTAAAATCTTAAAAATAGTAGTAAATATAAAGGAGCTGCGCCTGGTTTTTGAATTTCTCAGTTTGCAAGCTTTAGTTTCCTCCAAATTTCAGAATGCCCTTAAAAATATCTTACCAAGGCGAAATTTCAAAACTCTCAATATCATTTAATTTCTTAAACTTTCTTATTTCCCATAAACGACTGTCCAAAGAGTAGAGGTGTTTGTAAGTTGGCAAAGTGACTACTCAACAAAGTGGCTATTTCCACGATCAAGGACATTTATGATGAACCGACGACACTAAGCTTCTAAGCAGGCAGTTTTTTCGTTTGTTTTCACACATTTTTAATTCAGACCTGTATGTGCAGTAACGATTTCTAAAGAAGGATTCAGTATTCTAATCATTCCGTTCGCCGGACTGAGTACCTTCTTCACATTACTATTGAACCGTTCAATCCAACTTGATGTGCAATAAACATTATATTCTCCTATTTTGCATGTAAAAATGAAGTAAAATCCAAATGAAAAGCTAATTGGCTTTTTAAATAACCTCGAATGTCATGTTAATGTGAACTTACTTAGTGGGCTAACTTCTTTTTTTAACAACTGTCAAACCCCTGGAGCCAGATTCCAAATGAAGTAAGATCATTCATAACCAAAATTGTACATTCCATAATTTACCACAACTGGCCACGAATAAGCCGTGCCACTGAGTCGCAACCTTTTAACCTCATGTCCTATCTCGATGCACACGCGCAATAACAACCATCTAGCGCATTATTTGAAAGTTTATCTTAGTGTTACCAATTAAACATTTTTTGCCGAGGAGTCATGAACCGAATGTAAACATGCTTGATTATAGCATTATCAATAGCGCATAGAGGCACACTAACATATCATATAAACAATCGTGGCTTTATACTTTCTGACAAAAGGCAGTGATGGTACCCCCTCTCTGTATGTTTCTCATGGAAATATATGATTTGCAACCGCGCCATTGGCCGACGTTGGAATTACATTGTCCCTGTAACTAGTTTGATCACAATTAATCGGATCAGGAATGGGAAATAAAATAGGCATTTCAGTGCTCTCATATCACTTATTAATGTAATTTTGAACTCACTAATATCACTCATTTTTCGGTAGGATTTTTCACTCAAATTCAGCCTGTCATTACTACTCTCTGGCTTTCAAGCCTGTTGCGGGGGAGGGTGATTGATGTCATTCGTCGATTTAGGGCTTTCTGACCACTTCCACCTATTGAAATATCCTGGTTCTTGATCTTACCTCTTTCAGCAATCCTACGCCGGATACAAGAACTCTGGGCTTCCTGTGGACACCTCTTTCTAATGAATCTCGTCCGCATTTAAATATCACCGACGAAAGCAAACTGATGTACAATTATCGCCAAAAGTATATGGAATTGTGGACACCTCATTGTGGTAAGTGTGGGACTATTGCGTAAGGAAGTTATTTATTAAGTAAGCAGAAAGTAGATGGGTAATCAGATTGCCTACTTTTCAAATTACCTATTCGGTGAATAAAATTGCATTCAAAAATGGAATAATCTACTGCTAAATTTCATCTGGAATTCATTCCGCTCGAGCAAATATCGTCTTAATACCAATGTAGCAAGCTTGGTCTTATGCCATCTAAATGGTCTTTGACAATAAAGACAAGAGGGCTACTACCACTCATTTTTTAATAATTATTTCTATGACTAACATATATTATAACCGACTTGTAAGATGTACACAAAAATAAAAGAAAATGGCACTCTATTCTTTGGTTTTAATATTGAGGCCAGTGGCAATGACTACTAATAACCGACATCAAGGCTTCCAGACCAGAATTTCAAAGAATTGTGAGTTGGTTAAATGTGATTATACAACAACAATAGAGGAGGAGGAAAGAAAAAGGAGCCGAGTGGGGGAGGGTGGGTGGAGGGCGGGCATAAGCGTGGGCACATTGTGACAGAGAATTGACGCAACCACGTTGAGTCATCAAAAGATAGCCTGCAGAAATCGATTTTTTGCTTAGCTGTTCTTGATCATCCTAATCCACCTCATTTCCTGCTATGATACGAAGAAGATTTTTATTTCACCCTACAATTCTTAAAATGTAATAACTCATTGGTGAAAAGCAGGCCTCAAAATATATTGTTTTTTGCTAGTTAGTTAGGTGGAGAGTGTTTACGTGCTTCCGTTTGTGAGAAGTTGCGTTTGCACTAAAATTACAAAAAATAAAATATCATTTTTTTGCTTTGTTTAAACAGCCATAAAAATCCGAACAGAAGCATTAACGATTGTCAAAATAAAAATATATTTTAAATTACTAGTTATCATGGTACACACAAGCACACATTTTACACCTAATTGTTTTTTTCAAGTATTAACGCCACTTTATTTAATAAATTTCAGGATTAATGAAGGAAGTTATTATTAAGACAATCATCTGCATGGCGATATCTGTGGTGTTGTATGTGGCAGCCTGTGGAGGTCTACTGTATAGCGCAAGGAGGAGGGGATCTCAAAGTAGACCATTGGCAATTTAATGGATCACATTGGTATTTGAAAGAACTCTTTATGGTCATTGTGTACATTTCTTCATCTTTCTGACACCTTTTTTTAGTTATGTCATGCAGAAATATTTCAAATGTAAATTTGTCATAAAGACTCTCAATAATAATAATAGAAGAAAGTTAAGGCTTAGAAGACGAAGATGATGATGATGATGATGAGAGTTAGTGAGATTATAATAATTGCGAATCCAGTACATGGAGTTAACATTCGTTTTTCCTAACGGATAGGACGCCTACTGTATGTCCAAGGTCATTTTTGACAATAGCAATCGCTTAGCGACGGCATTCTGCTCAAGGCTCAGTTGCTGTTAGTCTTGGCAGCACCGAAGAAAGTAATCTTCCAAATCGTGGGTAGCGAATCACTTAAATGCCCATAATGTCATAACTAATGAGTGTCAAGATATTTATTTATTTATATCAAGTGGCAGGCATTTTGATGGTTATCGTTAGCCCTTTAGTTGACTTCAGGCTTCACGGAGGGGAGGAACATCAAAGTGAAAGAAAGTCGAGAGGGGGGGGGGACAGAAGAGTGCTTCAAAGACGAAGGTAGAAAAAAGGTGAGGTGAATACTGTAGAAGTAGTCGAATATGGCATACAGAGGGATCATGGCAGTTTGAAGTCAGAAGTCAACTGCCGGTTTATAGACTTTGTTTCCGTATGAGTATACGTTGCCCAGGGTGCACCACATGGAAGTAAGTCTATCGCACACCCCTCTGTCAAGATATCAAGTGCCCTAGAACCAATTCACTCTCTTCCATTTATTTATTTACGGTACCTAGTCTGAACCAAAAGTAGTCCCCGGGCCGGCGAAGGACAGAGACTAAACTGAACGCGATGTGGCTTGAATTAAACGAATACTAATCAAATTATGAGCACATAAATGCTTTCCGAGTTAACTCGACTGGATTTATAATCGCCTGGTGGGCAAAGACTTTCATCTTATCCATCTTTCCTTTCCATTTCCCCTCGGACTTGTCCTCATCTAACCCGGTTCTCCTAGTCATGGTCATGACCTTTAAGGGTTATTCACCTCAAAGAGATGTATTTAGTGTTTTCTTCTGGTTAATCATTCCTAAATGAACTTATTTTGCACTTTAAACTAGGTGAATTTCTACCTCCCAGGGAGCGCAATATTTACCACCCACTAAAAGTGAAAAGTGTTTCGAATTTTCACACGGAAAATAGGTGATATTGATAAGATCTTAGTCTGTCTGAAAGCTAATTTGAATACTCGATAATATATAGAATTTTGCATCCTCGTCATGGAATGCCTTTACACTAACATTGCATCACTGGCTCATAAATACATTCAATCATTCTCCGAACCATTTCAGATCCTCACAAGAGTATATTCATACTTTGATTCATTGTTCATAAAATTAAATTTTTCGCCCTATAGAGCAGGAACCATGACAGCTATGGTATGCTCAACTGGTTGCCAATAGTATTGTATTCCTGGCCTACGCAATCTTTTATTTTGCTCATAAATTATGTTTCATTGTCTTTTGTTGCTGGGTTGCCAGTCACCTTAAACTGTTTATTTAAGTTCTGAAGAAGTTGGGAACGATCCTGTGGCAATGGCACAAAATATTTACATAAATGAACGGAAACATTTATTTATTTATTTATTTCAAACGGCAGGCGTTTTGATAGATATCATTAGCCATTTAGCTGACTTCAGGCTTCACAGAGAGGAGGAGGAACATCAAAGTGACAAAAAGTCGAGAGGGGGTACAGAATAATGATTCACAGGTGTGACAGAGACAGACAAAAGAGCAGGGAAAAGGTAAGATGAGTACTGTGAAATGGGTTGAATATGGCATACAGTGGGGGTGATGGTAGTTTGAAGTCAGAATTCAACTGCCGGTTAATAGACTCTTTTGCCGTATGAGTATACGTTGCCCAGGGTGCACCACGTGGAGGTAAGTCTATCGCACACCCCATGAACGGAAACATTTTTGGGCTCTAACCCGCACAATTGATAGTTTGTAATTAAGTTGACCTTGAATGAAGATAAATACTAAAGTACTTCTCCATTTTATCGGATTTGCTTTAAAGTTAAGTCATTTTGTTGGGGCATTTCTTGTTTGTTTTTTGCCTAACTAAGCAGGTAAGCATAAGCATTTTCCCTGTTTAATTGATCTTGTAGTGGTTAATGCTAAAATTTCCACTTCCTCCTAACAATGGGCTAAATTCACTACCTCGCCATAACCTATACTATTCATGGAGTCTTCGAGTTGCCTGATATATGTCTCCGCTCTCATTTGCATGACCTTGGATAAGGGTCACCCATTTGCAGTTGTTGGTTATTTATACGTGTGTCCTACGTTTTTGGGGCTTTCGAACCAATCAGGATGTGTGAACAATGAATTATATCTCATAAATAAATGACTCTGGTTTCAAATAGGAAAAATTCCTCGTTGCTTGACTAATTGCTACGAATAGATAACGGCCATACTGTTACCTCGTTATTAAAACAGATTCATAGAAGATTGCTAATGGAAATTTATAACTTGATATTAATTGAGCAATAAAATTTTTCGGGTATTTATAATCTTTAGCATTGGATAAGGTTGTGTTTTTTTTCAAAGTACACGCTTTTCCGACAAAACAGCTAATGTATCATATATTTATTTTACTACCACTTCTAATAGCATCAATTGTTAAATACTTGAAATCAAAATTAAAGAAGTAGATACAATCGAAGGAGCAAACAATATTTTTCAGAAAAATTTGAACAAGACCCCTTAAAAACGGGTAACAACTTTTCTAGACAGAAGTTAAACGCAGGTTAATTTTTTTATTTCATAATTGATTTAATCTCAGTAAATAGAACTAGTTTCAGGATAGTCGACTTTCCAATTTAAGTCACACTAAAAGATGAATATTTTTAATAACCAACTAAGTATTTCCTTCATTAAAAACTTTGTGGATAACCAAAAAGGTGCTTGGTATATACTTTCCGATTAGAACACAAAAGCCGCTCAGTACCTTTGGATGAGAAAAAGGCAAATGATGTAACAAGACTGACCTTCATAAATAATCAATAAGCCAATGAGATTAAAGACAGAAATTCCAACACCAATCTAGCCGACGAATAACATAATTTGAATTTCTAAATCTGAATTATTCGCTAAATACATATTGCACAACCCGAGTCTAAAAATTAAATAGAGGGGGACTCTTTAACACCGCGCAGCTGTTCTCTGGACGGTTTTTTTCCCTCAACCAGTATTTTTTGTTGATATTCATATAACTGTGTTCATTTGCTCCCAAAGATCCAAAAAATGCGAAATTTTTCAGCATTGTGTGCAATCATTTTACCAAATCTGTCATTTGAAGTGTTGAGTACTTAAAATAAACGAAAATCAATATAATTTGATATTTATTTATTTCAAATGGCGGGCTTTAGGACACTTATCAATAGCTCTTTAGATGGCTTCGGGCTTCACAGAAGTAACAGAAAGTCGAGGGGTGGGGAACAGAAGAGTGATTCAAAGATGTAAAAGAGGTAGACAGACAGACACAAAGGCAGAGAAAAGGTAAGATTAGAACGGTGAAAGTGGTCGAATATGACATACAGTGAGGTCATGGCAGTTTGAAGTCAGAAGTCAAATGACAGCTTATAAACTTTTTTGCTGTATGAGAATAAGTTGCCCGGGTGCACCACGTGGAGGTAAGTATACAGCACACCCGAGTTGCATTCTTGGCGGCGAATATTTCCATAAATTGAGTACGGTTTTGAACCCACGTTCGTCGATCCAAGAAACGAAAGTGCTGCAATTCGGGGTGTTATGCAATTTAGCCTTGATTAGATGTCCGTGAATAAGTGGGGTGCGCGATAGACTTACCTCCACGTGGTGCACCCTGGGCAACGTATACTCATACGGCAAAAAAGTCTATAAACTGGCTGTTGACTTCTGATTTCTAACCACCATCACCCCATTGTATGCCATATTCGACTACTTCCACAGCACTCACCTCATCTTTTTTCTACCTTTGTGTCTGTCTCTTTTATATCTTTGAATCTCTATTCTGCTCCCCCTCTCGAATTTTTTTCACATTGATGTTCCTTTCCCCCTGTGAAGCCCGAGGTCAACTAAAGAGCTAATGATAACCATCAAAACGCTTGCCATTCGATATAAATAAATAAATGTTCTTGAATAAGTAGAGTATTTTCAGTGTAGTAGATTTTGCAAAGTTTAATTGCAGTTTAAATACTGCTAGAATTACTGTACCGCATACTGTTGTATCGTTGAGCCTAATTTTTTTAATTTATCTCTTCTAAACAGCCACATTCGAAACTCCAGGTTAGGTAGACGTAAGGTTCATTTCATGGTTGTAATCATGCACAATGCTAGGTTTCATTTGACTTTATCTACGTACCTCGTTTCCAAATTGTGCTTGATAAACAATGCTTGAAATCCGAAGAATTTTCATAAATAGTCATCTAGTGCACCTAAATTAAACCAATGCAAAAACTTGCATTCTTTCTACTTG